AAAATACAAAAAACTAGCCGGGCGAGGTGGCGGGCGCCTGTAGTCCCAGATGCGCGGGAGGCTGAGGCAGGAGAATGGCGTAAACCCGGGAGGTGGAGCTTGCAGTGAGCTGAGATCCGGCCACTGCACTCCAGCCTGGGTGACAGAGCTAGACTCCGTCTCAAAAAAAAAAAAAAAAAAAAAGAAACCAAAGTAGATCTAAGTAAATGGAGAGACATACCATGTTCACGGATCTAAGTAAGTGGAGAGACATACCATGTTCACGGATCTAAGTAAGTGGAGAGACATACCATGTTCACGGATCTAAGTAAGTGGAGAGACATACCATGTTCACGGATCTAAGTAAGTGGAGAGACATACCATGTTCATGGATCTAAGTAAGTGGAGAGACATACCATGTTCACGGATCTAAGTGGAGAGACATACCATGTTCATGTATCTAAGTGGAGAGACATACCATGTTCATGGATTGGAAGACAGCATAGTAATTGTTAATTCTCCCCAAAGTGATCTCCCCTATCAGAATGGCTAAATTCCAATCAACATCTCTCTCTTTTTTTTTTTTAGACAGTCTCGCTCTGTTGTCCAGGCTGGAGTGCAGTGGCACAATCCTGGCTCACTTAAACCTCCCAGGCTCAAACAATTCTTGTGCCTCAGCCTCCTGAGTAGCTGGGATTACAGGCATGTGCCACCACACCTGGCTAATTTTTCGTATTTTCAGAAGAGACAGGGTTTCACCACATTGGCTGGGCTGGTCTTAGCTCCTGGTCTCACGTTGATTTGCCTGCCTTGGCCTCCCAAAATGCTGGGATTACAGGCATGAGCTACCACACCTGGCTTTCCAATCAAGATCTCAAAAGGACTTTTTGTAGATATAGATGAGCTAATCCTTTATTTATTTTTTTTTTTGAGATGGAGTTTTGATCTTATTGTCCAGGCTGGAGTGCAGTGGTGTGATCTTGGCTAACTGCAAACTCCACTTTCCAGTTTCAAGTGATTCTCTTGCCTCAGCCTCCCGAGTAGCTGGGATTACAAGCACCCACAACCATGCCTGGCTAATTCTTGTATTTTTAGTAGAGATGGGGTTTCATATTAGGCTGGTCTCGAACTCCTGACCTCAGGTGATCTGCCCACCTTGGCCTATCAAAGTGTTGGGATTACAGGAGTAAACCACCATACCTGGCTAGACAAGCTAATTCTAAAATTAATATGTGCACTGAAACAACTCTGAAAAAGAAGAAGTAAGCTGGTGAAATCACATAACAATTGTTAAGACCTACTATAAAACCACAATAGTCAAGACAATGTGGTGTTGGCAAAAGAATGGAAACATAGACATAGATCAAGGGAACAGAACAGATAACCTATATGTACACCATCTCAAATATGTCCAATTATTTTTTAGCAAAGGGGCAATGGCAATGTAATGCAGAAAGAGTAGGCTTTCAACAAATGTCACACACACATGCAGTGCGCGCATGGGTATCACATACACACGCAGTGCATGCACGGGTATCACACACACACAGTGCGTGCATGGGTAACACGCAGTGCATGCACGGGTATCACACACATACACACAGTGCACGCATGGGTAACACGCAGTGCATGCATGGGTATCTCACACATGCAGTGTGCGCATGAGTATCTCACATATATAGACACAGTGCGCACACAAGTAACACATACATGCAGCGTGCACAGATAACACATATGCTCAGTGTGTACACGGGTATCACACACACACACTGCATGCACAGGCATCACACACATATGCGCAGTGTGCACATGGGTATCACACACATGCGGTGCACACACAGGTATCACACATACATGCAGTGTGCGCATGGATATCACACAGTGCACGCACAGGTATCACACGCATACGCAGTGTGCACACGGGTATCACACACACATGCAGTGTGCACACGGGTATCATACACCAGTACACACAGTGTGCACACGCGCCTCACGTCCTATGACACTGTCAGACAGTTCAGCCTGGAGCTTAGCCATTTTGACTTTTGGTGTTTCCTTCAGGTTTTTTCTGTATCTACATGTGGAATAGCTGTGCACACACTGTGTATGTGTGATACCTGTGCGCGCAGTGATACCCGTGTGCGTGCTGCATGTGTGATACCCATGTGCATACTGCGTGTGATACCCGTGTATGCACTGCATGTGTGTGATACCTGTGTGTACACTGCATGTGTGTGGTACCTGTGTGCATACTGCGTGTATGTGTGATACCCATGTGTTCACTGCATGTGTGATACCTGTGATACATCACAGGACATGAGGGAGTGCTACGAGCCAGCCACTCGACAAGGTGATGGAGGGGGCTGAGCCCTGGGTCTGGCAGGCCAGCTGCCAGCTGGGGAGGGTCCAGATACTCTGGACCCAGGGATGATCCTGGAAAGGTGTTCTCCCATCCCCACACGGCACATTCCTTCCTGCGGGTACTTTGTTTCCTAACAAATATGACACCAAGCCTCATAATTCAGGTCCGAAGGCCTGGTTGATCATCTGCCCAGAAAGAGTCATGAGTCATCCCAGAGGCCTAAGGACAGCTGTTCTCATGACTAGAGACAAACTGGTCCTGAGGGAGCCCTTCTGGGGAGCGATGCCAGCTGGGACCCACACCTTGGCCCAGATAAGAGTGGATTGGACGGCCCAGCTGACTGCCACAGCCTCACCTGAGCCATGTGGATCTGGGACCGCAGCACTGGGGGCACCCTTGGGCTTTGGGATGCTGTGGAGAGAAGGGCCACTGTGTGGGGCTCAGATGAAAATAGTAAGTGTGAGCATGGGGTGGGGAGTTGCTTGGCATGAGCCCCCAGGAGAGAGCAGCAGGATCCTGATGCTGGGGCTTTTCAGAGTTCACAGCGCCCATGCTGTCACCTGGTCGTCCTGGGGCGCCCACCCATCCCTCCGGGAACCCTGAATCTCAGGTGTCAGAGGGCACAAACCCTGAGGCCCTCAGGCTGTGCTCCTCCCCAGTAAGGGTCTCGGCCCCTGGTGGAGCCAGGCCCTGCAGGGCAGCTGTACCCCGCCTGCTGCACGGACTCCTTGGCTGAACAGGAAATGTTCCAGGGCCTGCTGCCAGCAGATGCAAACCCCCCGTACGCTAAGATTTAAGCAGCCCCAGAGCATCTGTGCGGCTTCACCTTGCAGGGTCTCCCTGCACGCCTGTCGCAGAGGCCACTGCGCGGCATCTCTGTCAGGGTGCCCAGGTAGCTGAGTCTGCTGCTTCTATTTCAAGCCTGTTTCAGGGAAGAAAGCTGCAGACAGAAACAATTAAAGAAACTCGGGCAGGAGCAGTCAGGTGACGCCGCAGCCAATGCAGGTGTGAAGCTGTTAAGTTTTGTTTTAATTTAAGACAGAAACGCTCCCCACCCCCGCTCCGCCCCTTTCCGTGGCAACATCTCTGCCATTTCTGGCAGAGCAGGTGCCGAGAGGCAGAAGCGTCAGCTGACTGACACCTGGAGAGGGCTGCACAGCCACGGGGCGTCGCACTCCTCCACACGCCACTCATGCTCTGCTCTCTGCTGGGACATTCCTGACTAGATGGTGTCCCCAACCCAGGCACAGACTGAGCCCCGTCCCTGCAGACAGGGCTGGACTGGCTGAGCTGGGGGGTCTTTGAGGTGGGGGCAGCGGTACCACAGGGCACAGAGTTGAGAGCCAGGAAGGGCAGGTGTATTCAGGAACCCGATATGCGGGGTGTGGCCAGCAGCCTAGTACTAGCAGGGCAGAGGCATGAATCCTAGGAGAGGGGTGTCAGGACAACAGCACGGGCTGGGGCCTGAGGCTGCCCTACAGAGGGCAGGGGAGGCGGGTATCCAGCAAGGGGCAGCCACCCAGGTGGGTTTCAGGAAGGTGCCCCACGGCTCTGTGGGGGCCACAGTGGGGGCCACAGGGGATAACAGCCCACTGCTGGTGGCCCAGACCAGGCAGGACACACCGTGCGGTCCTCCACACAAGGTGCGGCCACTGCACCTTTCAGTGTCATTTAATGACACTGAAAGCCACCCACGTCCTACTTGTTTGCTGGAGCTAAAACGTCCAACCACGACCATCGCTCCAACCCTCACGTGGTCAGGTGTGGAAAGCAAGGTCCAGGGAGGGCGTGTGGCTGTTCCCTCATGAGAACAGGACGCACAGCCCCTCAGCCTCTGTGTGGGGAGCTCAGTCATGCCCCGTGAGGGCTGAGACGGCGCCACAGAGAAGGAAATGTGCTGAGATGAGACTCAGGATCTCTCAATCTTTGAAAACCTCAGGGCAACAGTCAATCATGTGTGGTATCAGGTGTGGATACTGGCTTTAGAGAAAAAAATTTCCTTTTAAATCAAGATTCCACTTCCCCATAATCCCTAGAACTTTCTCTGTGACGTGAATTCACTTGTGACGAGCAGATTCTCACGTTAAAATCCTCACAGAAATGAGACAATGTCCTTTCTTCTCGTTCACCCTTGTCAGTTTTAGAATGATGTACTAGATGAGGAGGCCACCACAGAGTACTGCATGGGCACCCACCTCAGCGTGCAGGGCTCTGTGAATCTCCCCACACCTACTCTGGGGGCCTGGGGTCAGCGTCCCCTCAGGATGGGTGCCAGGGTCAGGCCAGTTCATATTTCTAACCAGACTCCCATCAACGACAATGGCCTCTGCTGCTTTCTCTCTTCCCCTCAGCCAAGGCCATCGTGGTCCACATCAGCCTGTCCCCATGGACGGGGCCCCTGGGAGGAGCTGTGTGTCTGGGTGTGAGTCCCTTTGGTGTTCTGCCCTGGGCTCCCTCTGCCCACTGCTCTGTGAGCGCACAGACGAACCCGCAGCAGGCAGGGCCCAGGACACCAGCCGGCACCTGCAATGTCCAGGAGGCCAGTCCCCTGCATGGAGGGGAGGCTGCCTCCAGCGGAAAGACACACCAGTGTAACCACCCTGGGGGGAGCCCAGTCTGGACACACGGCCACCAGCCTGCCGAGAGCAGAGTGGCTTACCTTGGTCCCCCTCTCGTCTCCCTCTGCGTGGACGGTGTAGGAGCAGCCTTCCTTTTGTGGCTTTTCTGAGATAATGCGCACCTGTACTCCGGGCAGCGGGGTCCCCACAGAACCTACAAGAGAGGAGAAACACTGAAAGGGAGGCTGGAGTGAGGAGCCTGGAGGAGAGAAGTGCGCCCTGCGCTCGGATTCCACTGGGCTCCTGTGTGCCACGTGCAGGAGTCTGTGTGGAGGGAGAGAAGTGCCCTGTGGCCCCGAGAGAACATGGCCTAGGAACCAGCGGGTGAAGAACCACACAATATGTGGCTGGCGAGCACGGTGTGCTCAGGCCCAGTCGATGCCACAGCGATGGCCACGCAGCACACCAGACGCTCACGTGGCACACTGCGCCTGCCCTGCCCCAGGCCCTTCAGATATCACTTTCCCAGTTATCTCCCGAAGCCTCACAGCTGCCCACGGACTCTGGTGTCATTTCCACTTTTATATACTTGCTGGCCAGGGAGCACTGGCGCCTCGCCCTGACGGCCCTGGGGCTGTCCATGATGAGGGGACCTGTGCGTGCCTGGGACACGGGCAGGCTAAGGCAGGACCTGCCCTATGTCTCCAGGAAGGGCTGTCCTGAACTCTGCATGGCAGGGGGACCACACTTTGTAGTAGCTCATTTATTAGACACCCATGATTTGCTCAGTGTATCCACCCCCCCTGCACAGTTCCAACGTGGCTAAAATCAGACCTTACACTGGCCAAGGTGGGGGCAGAGCCCAGGTGGCGAGACGTGTCCCACTGGCCCACACAGGCTGCCACAGCCTCGCTCTGCCTGTGGTTTAGGGTGCTGGTGGGACAGCAGAGGCTGCTCATGGAGCGCGGCCCTGGCGATGTGGCATCAGCATGGGCACGACCTGGGGGCAGAGCAGAGGTGGGACTTCCCGTCTACCCCGGGGTGTGAAGCCTTTGCCCTGGCCTGCGTCAGGGAAGTGCCTGAACGCTTATCACGTGTGAGAGTCCACGCTGAGATCTGAGGCACTTCAAGGTCAACATCGAGGGTCAGTGCAGCGAACTCTGTAATCCACGGGCCGTCCCAGCCTCCAGACGCTTGGTGAAGGGCTGTTGGTGCCTGGCTCGCTCTTGCTGGTCCCGCAGGCAAAGCCGGGCTAGCGTGGTGCACAGAGCGTCACCTAGGGAGTTGTCTGTGGTTCCAGGTGTGCAGACGTCCCGAATCTCCACTCTGGTCAGAAAACCGTGTCACCACCATGGGGGGGTGTGGCAGGGCCGGCTTCAGCCCCCTTTCTCCCATTCTTTCTCCTCCTTTATGTTTTGCTTCTGAAGATTTTAAAATGGAGGTGAAACCCGCGTAACACGACTTGCCATTTCACAGTGCGCGGCATGGCGGTGTTCCGCGCACACTGCACAGCCCCCTGCTCGCACCAGTCAGAACTCCCGCATGGCCCACGACCGCCACACCCTCCCTCCCCAGACCTGGCCCCACGTCAGCTGTCCGTTTTCTGTTCTGGGCGTTTCACAGGAACAGGAATAACACAGGCGGCCTCTCGCCTCTTCCTGGTGATGCCTCTACTGGGGTGGGGACGCCTCCACTGGGGTGGGGATGCAGCGCCAGGACATGGCACAGTTGGGGTTGGGGCGGGGCCGCAGGTGGGGAGGCCGTGCCCACACCGTCTGCAGAGGCTGAAGAGGCTCCGGGATGGTGTCGGGATTCTGCAGAAGATGAGCAGTGGCACTGCCCGTGAGAGACTGAGGGGGGCCCCCACACTCCAGGTGCCATTCATGAGATATTGAGGGAGGGGCCCCCGCCCTCCAGGTGCCGTTCGCTGTGCCCCGGGCATGTGACGGTGTAGATGTGAGAGCTCAAGGGAGTGAACAAAGGCCGGCCCTGCAAGGGCCAATGTGGATGGGCGCGGCCACAGGCAGGTGGGGGGCACTGCCTTCCTGCCACGGCCCACCTCTAAAATCTCTGTCAGCCAGCCCCTCCCTGATAACTCTGACTGGCCTGCGGCCCCTGTCCTGGTGTCTGGGACGCCCTGGTGCTCTGCGTGCCTGGGACCCAGGGAAGGGAAACCACCAGTGAGGTCCTGGAGGCCCCTGTCAACACCACAGAGCGGCCCAGGAGCTGTGAGCGCCTCTGAACTCAACCTCCAATTAGAGTGTGATTAGGCCCAGCAGTCGTCGGCCATGAATTATTCATCTCCCTCCACAGGAACCGCACAGGGCATGCCCGCCGTAACCGTAACTGTGACAGAGCTCACCCTCCACCCGGCTTCTCTCTCTCCCCCAAGCACGGAGGGGGCACTGCGCAGTGAGGCCAAGCGAGCCCAGAGCCTGCCGCTGGAGCCGACCCGAGTGCCAAAGCCACGGCCACCGGGGTGGGGGTTAGAGCCTGAGAGTGAGGAATACTCTTCTCCACTGTGTCCTCCGGAAACACGGCTCAGGAGGCTGCATTTTGGAGTTTCTGTGGGGCCTGTTGGATTTAATGCTGAGGCGACTTTACTTTTTTTCCAAACCAAAGAACTGACACTGCTGGTGATTTAGAGGCAAGGACAAAATCAGATACTTCATTCTGTTTTAGAGAAGAGGGAATGTCCCCAGCGCCCAGGCTTTGTCTTTGGCACCTGAGGAAACCTGCAGTCGGTAGCTGAAGACTCGGGGACTGGTGCTCTCGCATTTCTTGCCCAATGACCCTGAAGCTTCAGGGTCTCTGGATCCCCTTTCTCAACCGGGGACCCCTCTCCCTGTACCATCTGTCTGGGGCTCCTTCCTGTTCGCCTGGGAGTTCTGATTCCAGTGCGGGGAGGGTGAGCCTCCCCCAGGCCTCTGGGTTCCTGTCTGCTCCTGATGCCCTCGGTGATGGACAGCGGTCCCTGGGCTGCTCCTGACGCCCTCGGTGTGGACAGCGGTCCCTGGGCTGCTATTGACACCCTCGGTGTGGACAGCGGTCCCTGGGCTGCTCCTGGCACCCTCGGTGTGGACAGCGGTCCCTGGGCTGCTCCTGAAACCACTGAAGAGGCCACCGTGCTCCTGGCAGCGTGACTGCCTGGGAAGTGTGTGTGTGTGTGTCTGCGTCACTCACTAGCCGCATGACCCCTGGCAGGCTCCATGGGTTCTTGTGTGTGAATGGAAAAAATGACCCCACAGCAGGGGCTGTTTTGAGAAGATCAAATGAGGACGCCCACAAAGCAATTCTATGTAAACAGTCATCGTCAACTGCAAACTCTCTGTGTAGACAGATTCTGAATACACAGAACCTGTCCTGCTCACACGTCTGGAACAAAGAGAGGACAAAGCCTGGAGCCCGTTACCCTTTCAGTTCTCACTTGCCTGCAGCCTGCAGCCCTCAGCGAGCTGAGCTCTGTTCATTCTGTCCATATTACGTGGTGACTGTGGCCGGTGGCACTGGACAAAACCAGCACATCCTACTAAGGACGACGATGAGGACAGAGACTCGAGGGACTGCTCACATTTGATTTCAAGGTCCCCATCTTATTTCCACCAGGGAGCTCTAGCCACCAAAGAAAGAGTTGGTGCCATAGCCACTGTGGGGATGTGTGAGTCAGCCCAGGGCAGGGGCCACCAGCACCAAACTGATGGTTTCCTGGGGTCTGAGACTAAAGCACGAGCCGGCCCACGGCAGGGGCCACCGCCACTGATGGTGGTTTCCTGGGGTCTGAGACTAAAGCACGAGCTGGCCCATGGCAGGGGCCACCGGCACTGATGGTGGTTTCCTGGGGTCTGAGACTAGGATCTATTTCTCACCACTCGCATTGACTTCTTTTCACAACACGCCCCCACCTGCCCACTACCTGGGCCCTGTCGCAGCAGGCTCTGCACTCCATGTGGCCACCCCGCTGGCAGCTCTGCACGGCAGCCGAGGATCTCACTGTCATGGCCCTGTCATTCTGCTCACAATGACCCAGGCAAACAGAAACCTCCCTTTACACTTAGAACACACCCAGCAGCCCCCACGGCTCCCAGCAGCCCCCACGGCTCCCCAGGCCCAGCAAAGGGCCCTAAGCCTACAGCCTCTCCTCCTCCCAGCCAGCAGCCAGCAGCCCTCACACTCACCCTGCAGGCCCCAGCACCATATCGCTGCCTGGCACCAGCTGGTCCCCGCCTGGGCCTGGACCCCCATGTCCAGGCTTCCCCTAGAGCCCAGGAATCAGGCAGGCATGGAATGAGCCAAAGGGCACGCGGGAAGAGCAACGGGACAGAGCAGAGTCCAGGAGCCGGCCCCTGAGGAGTCAACGGACTTTCAACAAAGATCACCCGTTCCATGGAGAAAGGAGTCTTTTCAACAAACAGTGCTCAAAAGCTAGATGTCCACACCAAAGAGGAACTGTGGCCCGTATCTTGCACTGAGTATCTGTGGCCCGTATCTTGCACTGAGTATAAAAATGAACTCAAAGTGGATTACCGTCCTAAATGTAAGAGCTGAAACTATTCTCTGTGACTTTGGGCTAGGCAAGGATTTATTAGATAGGACCTCATATAGACAATTCGTAAAACAAATTGATAAACTGGGCCAAAATCTAAAACTCCTGATTTTAAAGATGCTGTTAGGTGAATGGGAAGACCAACCACAAGCTGGAAGACGATATTTAAAATCACACGGCTGACACTTGCGTCCAGAATTTTAAAAAGCTCTCAAAACTCAAGAAAACAAATGCCCCAATTGAAAATGGAATGACAAGAACAGGAAGAGGTGCTCAACGCCACCGTCATGAGAGAATCATGAACGCAACAAGACACCCCCACCGCCCACTGGAGCACGGGTGCTCCTGACCTCCCGCCCATCGCAGGGGGAAGGGGAGGGCGCAGCCGCCCTGGGGAACAGCTCGGCAGCTTCAGACAACACAGCAATCTCTCTCCTAGGTATCTGCCCAAGTGAAATAAAAACCCACGTTCACACAGAAATCTGCACACAAATGTTTATAACATCTTACGTGTCATTGCTTAAAACAGGGTCACAAGTGGTGGCACATCCACGCGACGATGCCACTCAGCAGTGAAAGGCGCAAACCCTGATGCACACAGCACAGGCGACTGCGGGCGGAAGCACCACGGATGCCACTCAGCAGTGAAAGGCGCAAACCCTGATGCACACAGCACAGGCGACTGCGGGCGGAAGCACCACGGATGCCACTTAGCAGTGAAAGGCGCAGACTCTGATGCACACAGCACAGGCGACTGTGGGCGGAAGCAGACAGGCTCAGAGGCCACGTCCTGCAGGATTCAGCCACGTGACCTCCCAGAAGAAGCAACACCACAGGAAGAGAAACAGGAACGAGGGGCTGGGACTCGGGGGTGGAGGGGGTGCTAAGCACTAGGAAGGAAGTTTCTGAGGTGAGGAACCCTTCTCTACCTCTATCTTGACTGTGATGATGTTTCTTAAGACTCTCAGAGCTGCACACCAGAGGGGTGAATTTTACTGTGTCGCAGGTAAGCAGCTGCACAGACAGACGTGCGGGATGGTCTCACTTTTACGTCTGCACTGAGCTCTCTCTTCCGCTCTGGACAGACTGAACGGGCCACACAGAAATAAGCAGGGCGGCCCCCCAGCAGTGGGCTCCGCTCCCAGAAGTCCCTGTGGAGGACCTGGGGCTCGAAGGCTTGGGTCAGATGAAAGTCAGAATGGGATGTGTTAGGGAGGGCTGGACAAGAGGGGCCCAGTACCAGGAGCCCACGTCTAGAGAAGGAAGACAGGTGCCTGACTCATCCCACCCTGCCCACCACACCCACCTGCCTTGGCACTGCTGCTGGCGCTGCGTGGCACCCGGACTCCAGACAGATGGAGGCTCCCACCACAGATGTGGTCTAGAGCCAGCAGCATGGCCCCCGGCCTTCCTCTGAGACGTGCACCGATGCCTGTGTTCCAGGTGTTGCTGCTCTTCCCATTGTCTCCCCAGTCATCCAGCCAGGGGCCAGCACAGACACCCCCCACCCACCCCTGACTGAGACTTGGGAGAAGGCTGATTGGCCCAGAGGGGACAGGTCACCGTGCAGCCTGAGTGCTCTCCTGGCCTGGTGGCCTGTCCCACAGGGCAGCATCCTTCACGCCGCCTTTCATTCCAAATGTGGGTGGTTCGAGACTGGCCCACCTTGGGGGGCTCAGGGCAAAGTGGGAGAGGAACACAGCTGTGGGAAATGCTCGTACCTGGCAGGCGTCCTGTGGCGGTCAGGGGCCCGGACAGAGCCATGCCGATCTCAGTCATGCCATACCGCTCCAACAGGGTGTGGCCCGTGATGTTCTTCCACTTCTCCAGCACCGGGATGGGCAGGGCAGCTGAGCCTGAGACCATGAGCCTACGCGGCACAATCAAAGGCAGGTTTAGCCCCTCGGGACGTGGCCCTCGTGTGCAAAGGTGGCAGGTTTAGCCCCTCGGGACGTGGCCCTTGCATGCAAAGGTGGCAGGTTTAGCCCCTCGGGACGCGGCCCTCGTGTGCAAAGGTGGCAGGTTTAGCCCCTGGGGACGTGGCCCTCGCATGCAAAGGTGGCAGGTTTAGCCCCTCGGGATGCGGCCGTCGCGTGCAAAGGCGGCAGCTCCTTCACGAGAGCAGGAGCCCCAGGCGTGGGTCTGGCACCACCGTGCGACACCTGGGACCGATGCTGCAGTCTGCACTAGGGCATTACTTTGTTTTTTGAAAATGATTTGTTGGGTTTATTTTAGAAGGAAGCAGGTCCAACAGCTAATGAGGGTAAACAATGTGCTTAGGGTCCGTGGTGTCCCCTGCAAAGTTCCTGCGCTGTTCACAACCACGCTCAAGAACAACAGTGACCGTGCAGCTGCTCACCACACAGCTGATCACAGATGAACAGCCACGGTGCTGTGGGCCGCAGCCAGGCACATCTGGGGACTAGAGCCAGCTCAGCTTGGAGGGCTCCACAGGAGAACGTGGACGTGGATGAATGGCTGCAGCACCCAAGGGGCGGGGCCGGGCACACCCAAGGGGCTCAGAACCGCCCACAGAGTTGGAGCCGTCTTGGCTCACACACTTGGCTCAGGCTTGGCAGGAGAACACGGGTCCTGAGAACCCTGAGTGCCCGCGCTGCTCACACAGCATTTCCTGCAGCCTCACGGGCAGTAGGGAAGGTGCTTTTGTTTGCGGTTTGAGCAGAGTGGTCCCTGCTGCTGCCCCTGCTTTATGAGGAGGCACCACTGACAGGACCCTCGCTGGGAGATCCAGATGGCTGAGGTCTCATTGTCTCCGTCATCCCGGAAATCACCTGATCCTCTCCTTCACTGACCTCGTTCTTGCCCTCCGTTCCTTAGATTTGGTAAAACATGCTGCTCATCTTGCTCAGCTCGGGGTCTTCCCAGCCCCAAGGCATCTCAGCAGTAGCAGCAGCAAAACCATGGGCTCCGGTGGCCTCACAAAAAAGGGGCAAAGGAACGGCAAAGAGAGCAAAGTGGGATCAGACATGTGCCTTGCACAACCCGGAATTCTCTCCAGGAACGAAGGTGCCGCTTCCCTGTGCACTTCCTGGGGACTGGGAGGAGTGCGCGGCAGCCACAGACACGCACACAACCCACTGGAAACTGGATGACAGTCAAGCCTTCATTTCCTGCAGTGCGCCCGCCACACCACCCCTCCCTCTCACAAAAAGAAAAAGTACCCCACCCACGACTCTGCTGGAGATGAGGGCCTGGGATGCGTGTGAAGACTCACTGAGCCACGCGTGTGCATTTCCAGTTAGTGAACCGCACTCCAACAGCCACGAGGGAAAAGAAACGTTCCCATGCCTGCAGGTTCATGCAGGAGTGCAAAGCAAACACGCCCGAGTGGCCCAAAAGACCAGCTCGTCCTGGGAGGGAGGGGTTGATCCAGGGAGCTGGGAGGGGAGGAGCAGGGCTGAGAGGAAGAGCAGCAGAACATGCCCCAGGCAGGAGGCGTCACAGGGCTGCCCACGAAGGCATTGCATAGTAGAGGCAGGAGCCGTGGGACATGTGGGCAGACGAGGCATGCGTGAGCGAGTCAGCTTAGCGTCCTCACCCTTGTCCTTCAGACTCCATGACAGAGAGAGACGGACCGGAAAGAGAGAAGACAGATAGAGGGAGACAAAGAGAGATGGACAGAGAGAGATGGAGACACAGGAGATATATAGAGAGAAGACAGAGAGACAGACGGAGAGACAGACGGAGAGACAGAAGACAGAGAGATAGATGGAGAGATAGAGAAAGACAAGGAGAGACAGAGAGAGACAGAGAGACAGAGAATGACAGAGAGAGCGATACAGAATCCAAGCAGCTATCGACGTGGATGAGATTATAGCTATACATACAGACGGGCAGAGAGAGAGAGATGGGGAGAGAAAGAGACAGGGAGAGAGGGATGGGGAGAGAAAGAGACAGGGAGAGAGAGATGGGGAGAGAAAGAGACAGGGAGAGAGGGATGGGGAGAGAAAGAGACAGGGAGAGAGAGATGGGGAGAGAAAGAGACAGGGAGAGAGGGATGGGGAGAGAAAGAGACAGGGAGAGAGAGATGGGGAGAGAAAGAGACAGGGAGAGAGAGATGGGGAGAGAAAGAGACAGGGAGAGAGGGATGGGGAGAGAGCGAGGGCACATCGAAAGGAAACGGAAAGCCATGCTTCCCAGGACTCAGTAGAAGTGATTTATTAGAAATAAGTGGCATCTGTTGATCTTTAAGACTTTCTGAGCGGGAAAGTGGACTCTTCACTTACCTAATTTTTTCTTCACAAACTGCACGCAAGAAATCCTGGGCGTGCGGCTGGGTAAAATGCCTGTCATAGTACTCCAGCAGCTTGGTGTATATTGTAGGCACTGCCATGAAGACACTGATCCGCGGCGTTTCAGAGCTTAAGAACTTTTCCCAAACCTACGGAGGAAAGGAAGCGCTCGGTAGGAAGATGAGCAGGCAGAGACCTGCGGCGGAGGAAAGGAAGCGCTCGGTAGGAAGATGAGCAGGCGGAGACCTGCGGCGGAGGAAAGGAAGCGCTCGGTAGGAAGATGAGCAGGCACTGAGGCTGTGGCAGAGGCTCCTGGCTCCAGGCACAGAGTTCTCACGTTCTCATGGTTTACATTCAAGAGTCTGCAGTGCCTCCCGTCTAAAAGGGGTGCCTCAGACTCTGACCCCTTTCCACAGAAGCCATGTTGCGTGGGACAACTGCATTTGGCCTGTGGGGGAAGAGGAATCACGAGTAGAGCTGGGAAAGGCCTTTGGGATCTGCAGCCTGGACAGACGTGAGTGGCCAGGCTCTTCCAGGTACACAGAGGAGGGCGGATGTGCACCTTGCGGAAGCTGACAGGAGGCCCCGGCGGCCGCCCGCCCGCAGACCCGAAGTCAGCACACTTCCCAGTATGCAAAGGCATGCAGTGACTAGTGAACGGTGAAGTCTTTTATTTAAAAGAGTCATGTGAATTTTATATTTTACTCCATAATAAACATTTCTTGCTTACATATAAGTACGTTTTAAGTTCCTCAATTGTTAGTGGTTTCTCGCGTTGCCCATAAAGCTTCAGGAAGACCTGGTGAGCCACGCTCGTTCCACGGCCCTCTCTACCCCCAGTGTTCCACACGGAGCCCCGAACGGTGTGGCGGAGGGCACTCTTCGTGCTGTGGGGTCAGCACCTAAGGGAGGCTCATGACATACAGGACAGATCTTGCCCACAGGGCATTGAAACTGGGGTCGACGGATGCTGATGCCACAGTCCAGCCCTAGTCCATCTCATCTCCTCACTGGACTCTGGCAGTGATGAGTACCTCACCACAGCTGCCTGGCAGAGAAAGGCAGGAATCTCCAGAGAAGAAATAGTATAATTCTTTCAAAGACAAAGATTGGACTCTTCAAAGTTACAAAGCATGTAAGGAAACAAAGATGTGACCCCAAATTGAAGAAGTCTCAGGAAATCCAAATATCAGGACCACCAGACAAAGCCCTTCAAATAACTGCAACAAGCAGATTAAGGAATTTAGAAGAAAAGATGAACAACGTGGGGAAAATGGAGAATTGCAAAGAGAAGTGGAACTGCAAAAAATTGTAAAACTGAAAAACATGAGATCTGAAATGAATTCATTCAATAGACCAAATAACAAACAAGACACAGCAGAAAAGAGGAAAAAAGTCAGACACAGTCAACGGGCGTGATCTACGCTGATGTGCAGACGGCAAAGCAAAGAGACAGGCGACCAGAGTGCGGGAGACGGCAGCACCCGCGGAGCAGCGCCCACAACACTGCCATCGAGGGAGGGTGGGGGAACAGACAAGCAGGCAGAGAGAGGACACGCTCGTGGACGGGAACACTCCACATTGTGAAGACGGCAGTTCTTCCCAAACTGAGCTCCAGCTTCAAAGCAATCTTCCCAAAATTCCAGTAAGCTTCATTTTGCAGAAATTGATACACTTATCCTACATTTTACATGAAAAGGCAAAGGACCCAGAAGATCCAAAATAAATTTCAAAAGGCAGATTAAAGGTGAGAACACACGGTTCCCAACTCCAAAACTGACATAAACCAGAAGTAATGAACACAGTGTGATGCTGTGTAAGATCAGACAAGAGACCCACAGAACACACTTGAGAGTCCAGAAACAAATCAACGCACAGATATCTGGTCACGTGATTCTTGGCAAAGAAGCCAAGTCCCCAACGGGGGAAAGGACAAAAGGACAAATCTTTCTCACAAATGGCAACGACACACTGAATATCTCCACGAAGAAGGTGAATCCTAGACCCTACCTCACACCATATGCAAACTTAACCCAAAGTGGGTCAGAAACCTCCATGTATGAGCTAAAATTAGAAAACTTCTAAGAAAAAACGAAAGGGAATATCTTCATGACATGACCTGTAACCACAGGCAAAGACTTCTCTGATGAGATACAGCACAATCTATAAAGTTTAAATATTGATAAAATGAATTTATTTTTAAAAATTTTTTATAAAATGAATTTCATCAAAGTAATGTGTGCTTCAAAAGACACATTAAGAAAATAAAAAGACAAGCTGCAGTTAAAGGGAATATTTGCAAACCATACATCTGAAAAGAGACTTGTATCCAGAATACACAGAGAACTCTTACAACTCAATAAGAAGACAAATAGCCCAATTTAAAAATGGTCAAAAGATTTCATTAGACAGTTCACCAAAGATTACATATGGATGCAAACAAGAACATAAAAAACAGCACTGGGCGCGGCGCTCACGCCTGTAATCCCGGCACTTTGGGAGGCTGAGGTGGGAGGATCCCTTGAGCTCAGGAGTGTGAGACCAGCCTGGGCAACATAGGGAGGCTCTGTCTCTACAAAAATAATTCAAAAGGAAAAAAGTAAAAATAAACATAAAAAATGTTCAACATCTGGCAGGGTGTGGTGGCTCACACCTATAATCACAGCACTTTGGGAGGCTGAGGCAGGCAGATTAGTTGAGGTCAGGAGTTCAAGACCAGCCTGGCCAACATGGTGACACCCCATCTCTACAAAAATACAAAAAATTAGCTGGGCCTGGAGCTGTGAACCTGTAATCCCAGTTGCTGAGATGGCTGCGGCAGGAGAAGTGCTTGAACCCAGGAGGTGGAGATTGCAGTGAGCCGAGACTGAGTCACTGCACTCCAGCCTGAGAGACAGAGCGAGACTCAGTCTCAAAAAAAAAAGAAAAAAAAAAAGCTCAACATCAGTAGTCATTAGGGAAACACAAACTGAAGCCAGTGACAAGTGCTGGCAGGACGTAAAGAAATGAAAACTCTCATACGCTGCTGGTGAGAACATACAGCAACACAGCCGTTTTGGAAAACAGTTCGCCAGTTTCTTGTCTGTCTTTCTTTTTTTTTTTTTTGAGACAGAGTCTTGCTGTTACCCAGGCTGGAGTGCAGTGGTGCAATCTTGGCTCACTGCAATTGCCGCCCCCTGGGTTCGAGCGATTCTCCTACCTCAGCCTCCTGACTAGCTGGGATTACAGGTGTGAACCACTGTGCCCGGCTAATTTTGTATTTTTAGTACAGACAGTTTCACCGTGTTGGTCAGGCTGGTCTCGAACTCCTGACCTCAAGGGATCCACCTGCCTCAGCCTCCCAAAGGGCTGGGATTTCAGGTGTGAGCCACCATGCCCAGCCAGTTTGCCAGTTTCTTAAAACATTAAACAGAGGCCGGGCACGGTGGCTCAAGCCTGTAATCCCAGCACTTTGGGAGGCTGAGACAGGAGGATCACGAGGTCAGGAGACTGAGACCACCCTGGCTAACATGGTGAAACCCCGTCTCTACTAAAAAATACAAAAAACTAGCTGGGCGAGGTGGTGGGCGCCTGTAGTCCCAGCTACTCGGGAGGCTGAGGCAGGAGAATGGCGGGAACCCGGGAGGTGGAGCTTGCAGTGAGCTGAGATCCGGCCACTGCACTCCAGCCTGGGTGACAGAGCGAGACTTCGTCTCAAAAAAAAAAAAAAAAAAAAACAAAAACATTAAACAGAAAGTCACCATACAACCCATCAATTCTATCCCTCTGTGTCTATGTAAGATCAGTGAAAGCGTGTCTACAGAGATTTATATGTAAATGTTCACAGCAGCATTATTCATCATAGCCCCAAACTGAAACATTCCAAATGCCCATCAGATGGTGAATGGATGAGTCCACACGATGAAGTACTACTCAGGAACAAGCTACTAATGCACACAATAGAATATGGACGAAACTCAGAACCATCCTGCAAGTGAAAGAAGCTGGAATAAAAGACTGAGTGTGACACAACCCATTTGCACGCACTGCCATCTAAAACAAGGAAAGTCTAGAGGCAGAAAGCAGATTCGCGGTTGCCAGGGGCTGGGAATTGGGGGGAAATGGACACTGGTTTGAGGGAATGGCTACATAATTCATAATTCACAATAGTGAATTTTACGGTGTGTGAATTGTATCTCGATAGAACTGTTTTTGAAAATAAAAACATTTTCAGTGAAACAAAATTGAGGGATATGTCAGCAAAGCTGCACTACAAGAACTACTGAAAAGAAGTTCTCCAGGCTGAAGGGAAATGAGTTACGGGGAAGCATGGTCCTTCCTGGAGAACCTCTGCAGGGACAAATGAAGGTACCAGAAGAGGAGACGTGTGGGTAATTTAACAAATTTAAGGACTCCTGATATGGTTTGACTGTGTCCCCACCCAAATCTCAGCTTGAACTGTTTCTCCCAGAATTCCCACATGTCGTGGGAGGCACCCAGGGGGAGGTAATTGAATTATGGGGGCCGGTCTTTCCTGTGCTATTCTCATGATAGTGAATAAGTCTCACAAGATCTGATGGGTTTATCAAGGTTTCTGCTTTTGTTTCTTCCTCATTTTGTCTTGCTGCCGCCATGTAAGAAGTGCCTTTTGCCTTCCGCCATGATTCTGAGGCCTCCCCAGCCATGTGGAACTGTGAGTCCAATTAAACCTCTTTTTCTTCCCAGTCTTGGGTATGTCTTTATCAGCAGCGTGCACATGGACTAATACAGTAAATTGGTACCAGAAGAATGGGGCTGGGGGTGGATGAAACATGCAGCCACGTTTGAGAACTCTTCCGCAGTTTCCACTCAAATGAAACATATGTCTAGCCTGTGAGCCAGCACCAGGAGGTGCAGATCCAAGAGAAATGTCCACAGGGACATCTGTGTGACAATGTTCATAGCAACCGTGACTTCTAATAGCCACAAACTGAAAACAATCCCAAATCTTTCAAGAGCAGAATGGATAAGCATACTGTGGCTTCTGCACACTATGAAATACAACACGGCAATGCAAAAAGAACAAACTGCATTTGATGCAACACACAGATCAACTGTCAAACAGTACAGTGAACCAGAACACAAACGTGACACTGAGGCACGGAAAACGGAGCACACGTGTAGAGGGACAGCGCTGAGGTGGGGAGAGCACGCGTGTAATAGGATGGTGCTGAGGAGGGGAGAGCACACACACAGCGGGACAAGGCTGAGGGGCGGGGAGCAGGCACAGAGGTGAAAGACACAAAGGACGGCATTTCTTGGAAGTCATCCAAATCTTCAGACGGCAGCTGCCGCCCTAAAGAAGGGCACTGAGAGCTGAGCGCGACCTCCTTCCTCCAGCACATCCCAATGTGTTGCCACACTTCCAAGACCTGTAGGACCTGGAGGCCCCTGAAGGGCGCCTTAACGTTTGACTAACTAGCAAGTGCTTCTGAGGCGGCAGGAGCAGGCCTGTTGCTCTAACCCGAGCTGCCACAGCACAGACCCCGCCAGATGGCAGTTCCCACGCAGGCTGCTCCGAGGAGTCACCCCCAGCCGCCCTGATTTGCTGCCCTGCCCTCCTGAGTCCATGCTGTGATCCTGAGGATGTCGGCCAGGGCAGCGCTGTCGGAGACAAGTGACTGATCTGAGCCTCTGGCGACTTTGATCTCTAGAGGCTGTGGCTGCACATCCATCTTCCGGCATCCTCCTCCTGTCCCCCAACCCCATCCGTCACCTGCAGGCACTGACACCCACAGCCCTCTATGCAGGATGACTTGAAGACACCGCGTCTAAGATTGTCTGATACCACCGCAGGTGTCTGGTCACCCCACACTTGTATCCTACACATTCTTCAATACAATCTTAGACAGAACCCCAATATTCAATAACGCTGACAGCTGGATTTTACACATAGAAATTTCTAAAGTCAGAAACCCTGAAACTTGGGAATTGATGGAAAAGAGCTGCAATCTTTTGTAGCCACAGCATCGAATTTGTTTAAATATTAAATTTTTGGCTGGGCATAGTGGCTCACGCCTGTAATCCCAGCACTTTGGGAGGCTGAGACAGGCGGATCACAAGGTCAGGAGTTCTAGACCAGCCTGGCCAACATAGTGAAAACCTGTCTCTACTAAAAATACAAAAAATTAGCTGGCTGTGGTGGCGGGCACCTGTAATCCCAGCTACTCAAGAGGCTGAGGCATGAGAATCGCTTGAACCCAGGAGGCAGAGGTTGCAGTGAGCCAAGATCGCGCCACTGCACTCCAGCCTGGCTGACAGTGCGAGACTCCATCTCAAAAAAAAAAAAAAAAATTAAGTTTTCACAGCATAGTTTAGAGAAAAATCTGAAGTAAGCGTCAAAAACAGTGCAGGTCTGAGGCTTTCCCGTGTCCATTAAAGGTCTGAGGTTTTCCTGTGTCCACTGAAGGTCTGAGGCTTTCCCGTGTCCATTAATGAGCCAGTCTGCAGTGTCCGGAATATGACAGCAGATGCCCAGGCAGAGACCCCAGGGCAGACACTCTCAGAGCAGAGATCCCTGGGCAGACGCCCTTGTGACACAGACCCCAGGGCAGGGACCCCCATGGCTGATGCCCCGGGCAGAGACGCCACAGCAGCAGCTCCCAAGCTGTGTGTGGGCACCAGAAAGAGCCAGGTGGTGTCATTCACACAGTGCTGGAGAAGAAGCAAGCTGAGAAAGTCCAGATCCTTGACAGCTGGTCTGTGCCAGCACCTGCACCCACCTGCCTCTCACCCTGAGAGTAACACACTCTTTACTGGGGAGGACGGAACCAACCTGCCCTTGGCTCCCTGGGAGATGCTCTGCCTCTGCCCCTGCAGCTGCATCTCACCCTGGCACGGTCCACGACAAAGGCCGTTGCTGCCTCTGCCCAAGTGACCATGGCAGACCAGCCACCGTCAGCGCCCGGGCAGCCCCCAACAGAGGTTCAGGGCCAGGCTGCCAAGGAGCAGGGGCTGAGGTGGGGCAGGTTGAGGAGGCCCAGTCACAGGCACAGAAACCGACACCCTCGACAGAGCTGACAGCCAAAGGAAAGGAGGGGGCTCAAGGTGGAGAGGAGGGAACAGCCCCAGAGGAGCCCCCAGAGACACAGCAAAGGCACCGAAGGTCCCTACACACCAGGCGCTGCACCACCCACACAGCACACACACAGGGAACTCACTGCAACAAAACCACCTTTGTGTTCACCAAGGACAGCTGTGTCCATTTAGGGCGCACCCCAGAGACAGCCATAGGGAGGGTCGGGCCACTAAGCCAGATCCCTACCGGGGGAGCCAGGACAGGTCTGGAGCAGAGCGCCAGGCAGATGTCTCCAGGATGGACCACACAGATGAGGCAACCTCAGTGTCTGCCATCTTAACCAGAGTGCTGTGTCGCAGCTGTGGTCAGTGCTGAGATGTCCATGAAAAATAAGGGCTGAAGCCAACAAGAATGTGGAGTGTGTCAGGGAGACGGGGTCCTGGGGAGGCTCTTCAGGAGGTGACCCTGGTGACGGGGCCCTCGGGAGGCTCTGTGGCTACAGGCGCCCTGGCAAGCAGTGGAGGGAGCTCACGGCTAATGACGCAAGTGTGTTGGCAGCCACCTCTCGTTGGCACGGCAGTAACTGCTAGATTTTAAAGAGGTCGTTCTCTAAAGCCCAGTGTTATCATCTGTGAAGAAACTGGCTCACTTGCTCTTAGAAAGCTGTTCTACATACTGGCTTCTCTTTCGAGACCTTCCCTCCAGTGGAGGCTGGAGAAGAGCCCCCTTCTCTTTTTGAAGTTTGTGCCCACTGTGAGCCAGGCTCCAGACCAGGCCAGACCCTCCTACACGCCCCTCGGGCTTATGTGGCCAGGACCCCTTATTTTCCGGGGATGAGACTAAAGGTCAGAGAGGTGGAGGGCCAGATGAGAGGCCTTCTCTCCACCTCCAGCCACTGTGTGGGGTCGGGGGCCCCACAGTGAAGAGGACGGGCCTCAGCGGCAGCAGCAAGGAGGTGGGCGGGGCCTCCCAGCTGCCTCAGAAGCAATGGGGAGGTGGGCGGGGCCTCCCAGCTGCCTCAGAGGCAATGGGGAGGTGGGCGGGGCCTCTCAGCTGTCTCAGAGGCAATGGGGAGGTGGGCGGGGCCTCTCAGCTGCAGCAGAAGCAGCAGAGGGGAGGTGGGCGGGGCCTCTCAGTTGCAGCAGAGGGGAGGTGGGCGGGGCCTCTCAGCTGCAGCAGGGGGGTGGGCGGGGCCTCTCAGCTGCAGCAGAGGGGAGGTGGGCGGGGCCTCTCAGCTGCAGCAGAAGCAGAAGGGAGGTGGGCGGGGCCGACCGCTCACAGGGCCCCCTTCCTGGAGAAATTCACACCGGACTAGGGTTTGAGTCCTGAGCTCCGGGTCAGAGGCCTCAGAGTTCCACACAGCTTTCAAGGGGGCCGGAAAGACTTCAGACAGGAAGAGTCCTGGCAAGAGCAGTGAGTGTGGGACCAGCCACTAGTGGCTGCTGTGCTCTGGGCTTTAGGACTGTGCCTCTGCTGGCCGGGACGTCTGCCCTGCAGGACAGCCCTGCACAGACCAGGAGCCCAACCCCAGGCATCTGGCCTCAGAGATGGGCTCTTCTGTGCTGAGAACGATCATGATACGACCCAAATCCTAAGGGCTTTTCCCTACATTCACTTTTTAAACTTTTTTTCCTGTGAATAAAAGGCGTATTCATTACATGGGCAGAGGTTGGAAAACATCCGTGGCCTCACCGGAGGGCTCCGCTTCACTACACCTGTGACATACGCACACCTCGTCCTTCCTGTGGGCTCAAGGCCTGCCCCTCATGCCCTCTGCAGCCTGGTGAGTGGCTCTCGCCTGCAGTCAGCTGGAATGCACACAGGGCCACAGCAACTCCTAAAAGCCACCACCATCCCCAACTGACAGGAGAGGCCTGATGCTGCACACAGGGTCCCACCTCGAGCCCAGGTCCTTTCCCTCTAAAGCAGCATCCTCATCTGCCCTGGAGACAGCTCTGCACAGGCAAGGCTGCGCGTGGCAGCTTGGCGACGACTACTTCCACCCCAGGGCTGTGTGTGGCCAGTGCCACGTCCTCCCCTCCCTGCCTGCTCCAAGGGAGACAATACAGAGGAAGCGACGCAGAGTGGGGAAACAGAGACTCTGCAGCAGCCCTCCAGCTGGGCCAATACTCCAAAGTAACCCTCCCAGCCAGCAGCTCTCCAGCCGGGCCAGTACTCTGGAGTAACCAAGAGCTGCCACAGTGGCCACATCGTAGCTCAAGGGGCCACGCCCTGCACCCTGTACCCCGAATGTGTCACCTCACGCAGTGGTGGGAACTGCAGGTGGGTGAAGCGAAGGACCTCAGGATGGGAGATTATCTTGGAATATCCGCATGGGCTGTACATAGAGAAGCCGAAGGAGCCCTGACTATGGAGAGAAGGAGGCCGTGTGCCTATAGAAGCAGAGCCGGACATGAAGCAGCTGGAGCCAAGGGCACAAGCGGCCTCTAGAAGCTGGAAGACGCAGGAACGGACTTTGTCCTGGAGCCTCCTGTCGGAGCAGCCCCACCATACCCAGCGTCAGCTCCGCAAGACTCGTCTCAGAATCCTGGCCTCCAAGCATGTCAGAACAAACTCGCAGTATTTTAAACCAAGTGTGTGAGCGTCTGCTGCAGCCCCAGGAGCCCATCCACAGTCTCACTATTCACGGTTTCAGTGACGTGCGGCCCACTGCAGTCCCGCAACAGACGAGCACGGTGCCGGAACGTATTCTGGAGAGAGGAGAGCACTTTCCCATAACTTTATCACAGTACGTGGTTATAACTGTTCTGTTGCTGTTAATCTCTTACTGTGCCTGACTTACTGATTCAGCATTATCATAGGTGCGTATGTATAGCAAAAAGCATTGTAAGTACAGGGTTCCATGCTACCCAGGGTCTCGGCATTGGCGTGTCCCCTGTAGATGGGGCGACTGCACACCAGGGAAAGGCACCTGGTCTGAGGGTGTGGCCAGAAGCCCTGACCCCAACCAGGGAAAGGCAGCTGGTCTGAGGGTGCGGCCAGGAGCCCTGACCCTGACTCACCTGCTGGGCGCTGAATTCAGGCATCATCACACAGGTGGCTCCCACCCAGAGAGGACAGAGCAGCGCATTGACCACACCGTGGACGTGGTGCAGTGGAAGCACGTGGAGGATCACGTCGTCTTTGGTCCATGCCCACTTGCGGACCAGCCCGGTCACCTGCAGGGGACAAGAGCGCAGCTGAGAGCAGGAGCGAGACTGTGGTCCGCAGCAGCATACACAGACCTGGGGCTCAGGGACAGGAGCTCTGGGCCTCTCAGCTGAGGCAGGGGAAGAAGGCTGGCTCTTTGTTGCTCCCCTCTAGCAGCCTCTCAAGATGATGACGAAACCACAGCAGATCTGCTGGCTCACTCACTTACCCTGGGGACAGAGGACAGCACCACACACAGCCAGGGGCTTTACGGAATTTAGACAGTGGGGGAGTGGCTCTGCAGACACCAGGCAGACAGAGCTGTGACTCAGCATCGCCATCCCCAGCTCCGCCCCTGCCCAAGCCTGGACTCAGGGATCCAGCGCCATTCAGGCTGGAATCGACTCCTAGCCCAACCACTGGCTCAGCTGACAGCACTGCCCTTGCAGAGCTCTGCCGATTTGTGAATTATTGTTACCTGCTCAGCCAGGACAGAACCCAGGGCCAGGCTCCTGAGCGCATCCTCAGCTCTTACTGAGAAGCAGCGTGAGGCACGGCCCACTGAATCCACCGTCCAGTCTCACGGAGGACACTGCCTGCTGCCTGCACAGGCTCCAGGGACAAGCACGTGTGAGTGCCACTCCCCTCAGCAAGGACAGAGGAGCCCGTCCCTCCCGACAGGCGCGCTGCTTCCAGGAGTGATGGCGCAGGCCACGCAGGGCCTAGCCTGCAGCGTGTTCATGGTGCCTCCATCAACCCACGACTCCGTGGGGTCCACTTCCTGCCTTCCCCTTCGTGGCTTTCGGCTTTCATTTTTACTTTATTGCTTCAACCGCATAGGAGACTTTATGACACTATACAAATGACAAGTAAGTGGAGAGTTCTGTGAAGATATGACTGAGGTCACAGGACACAAAAATAACGAGTAAGACGCAGGTGTACGTGGGGTCCCGACCAGGCATCTTAACATGTGGCTGGCCTCGGAAAAGCCCCTCAGCATCACAGGCAGTGAGTGGCCCCTTCTGACCTCATGCCACGTGGTCCTGGCGGGGTCACTCGGCGGCCCCTCAATCCCTCTACACCTGAAGGCTTCGCCCCTGCCTGAGCCGTCCTGCGTGGCCAGTGGCTACACCCTGCAGGCCTGCGTCCGTGTATCTCACACGGGTTTGCAGGACGGTGACAACCGTGAACGACTCCACAGAGAAGCAAATGAACAGATGTGCTTCTGGCCCGGAGCCCACCCAGAGTGCCACGCCATGACCGATCCCATCGCAGCGAGGGGCCCGGAGTCCACCCGGAGTGCCGCGCCGTGACCGGTGCCATCGCGGCGAGGGGCCCGGAGCCCACCCGGAGTGCCGTGCCGTGACCGGTGCCATCGCGGCGAGGGGCGGCACTCACCACAGCCCTGATGTTTCGGTGCGTGCTCAGCACGCCCTTGGGCCTCCCTGTGGTCCCACTGGTGTAGATGATCATGGCGCCCTGGTCCCTCCACCCCTGCTCTGGGACGGGGACCTCTGCTGGTTCCTCTACTGCTCCAGTGTAGACGGCTGGCATGAGCGGCAGCAGTGGGACCCCCAGCTTCCTGACCACCGGGCTCAGGAGCTCCAGGTACTCCTGGCCGGCAAGGACCACAGAGCTCTGGGAGTCGCAGATGACATACTCCAGCTGGGCGGCGGGGTGCTTCCTGTAGAGGGGGACTGCCACACCGCCGCTCATCCACGAGGCCCACTGGGCCACCACGTAGGAGGCGTCGTTAGCGCACAGGAAGGAGACCCTCTCCCCCCGGAGGTCCCCGCCGACACACCCGCGGAGTCTGCAGATCTCCTGGGACAGGCGAAGGCTGCGGGAATAAAGCTCCCTGTACGTGTGGTGGCCATGCTGGTCAACCAGGGCGGTTCTGTCCCCAAAGGCCAGGGCGCGGGTGAACACAGGGGCGCTCCGGTCCGAGCGGGCCACTGGGGCTGTGTGGAGAAGGCCACTTCCTCTGTGTCTCACTGGAGCCAGCCGGCAGGAGGCCGAGGCACAGCCCAGGCGCCAGAAGGTGAGCATCACATGGGGCAGCATCGCACGGACAGGCATTCCCGGGAGCCTCCTGGGGCCAACCTGGAGAAAGGCAAGGCACAGCACGTGAGTGCCCAACCGTCCCATCCGAACGTAGCCACGACAGGATCTAAAACACCTCCCAGTACCCAGCCAGGTACGCCTGCTGCACCTTCAGTCAGGAGGCAGCACATCAGACAGGTCGCATCCAGCCTTCCTCGCCCACGCCACTGGAACATTCCGTACGCGCCCAGCATCTCAGCTTTCTATTTCACTTCACTAGTTTAAGGATTCCCAAATCACACAAGATTCTGAACAATGAAATAAACTAGGTAAGTTTATTTCAAGGAGAAGCATATAAAATTCAATACACTTAAGGTACATCTGAATAATGGGTTTTAGAATCTTGAGCCTGGAAAACCACCCATGAGAGGAGGAAGTGTGGAGAAGAGCTCAGTACGGCCCCTGCTCACAACAGGCATGGCCTGGAGACCTCGCCTCCGGGGCAGACACTGTCCCCACTCACAACAGGCATGGCCTGGAGACCTCGCCCCTGGGGCAGACACAGCCTCTGCTCACAACAGGCATGGCCTGGAGACCCCCCCCCCGGGGCAGACCCCCCCGCCACAACGCATGGCCTGGACCTCCCCCGGACAGACACTGTCCCTGCTCACAACAGGCATGGCCTGGAGACCTCGCCCCTGGGGCAGACACTGTCCCTGCTCACAACAGGCATGGCCTGGAGACCTCGCCCCCGGGGCAGACACTGTTCCTACTCACAACAGGCATGGCCTGGAGACCTCGCCCCCGGGGCAGACACTGTCCCTACTCACAACAGGCATGGCCTGGAGACCTCGCCCCTGGGGCAGACACTGTTCCCGCTCACAACAGGCATGGCCTGGAGACCTCGCCCCTGGGGCAGACACAGCCTCTGCTCACAACAGGCATGGCCTGGAGACCCCGCCCCCGGGGCAGACACTGTTCCCGCTCACAACAGGCATGGCCTGGAGACCCCGCCCCCGGGGCAGACACTGTTCCCGCTCACAACAGGCATGGCCTGGAGACCGCCCCCCTGGGGCAGACACTGTTCCCGCTCACAACAGGCATGGCCTGGAGACCTCGCCCCCGGGGCAGACACAGTGCTGCCTCTCTCAGACCCTTCCCACACAGGTGCACAGTGGAAATGTGGTGAGGTGCCAAGGTTTTTTTTTTTTTTTTTTTTTTGAGACAGGGTCTTGCTGTGTTGCCCAGGCTGGTGTAGTGATGCAATCATGGCTCACTGTAGTCTCGACTTCCTGGGCTCAAGCCATCCTCCACCCTCAGCCTCTCGAGTAGCTGGGCCCACAGGCATGTGATACCACACCCAGCTTTTTTTTTTTTTTTTTTTTTTTTTGGTAGAGACAAGGTCTCACTGTGTTGCCCAGCCTGGTCCAAAGTCCTGGGGTTATGGTAGGTGTAAACCATGCTTTTTTCCTTCTTTTCTTTTCTTTCTCTCTCTCACTATGTTTTCTTTCTCTCTTTCCTATCTATCTGAGATGGAGTCTCACTCTACCTACCTACCTACCTACCTACCTACCTACCTACCTATCTATCTATGATGCAGTCTTGGTCTGTCACCCAGGCTGGAGTGCAATGGCATGATCTGGGCTCACCTACCTACCTACCTACCTACCTATCTATCTATGATGCAGTCTTGGTCTGTCACCCAGGCTGGAGTGCAATGGCATGATCTGGGCTCACTGCAACCTCTGTCTCCTGGGTTCAAGTGATTCTCCTGCCTCAGCCTCCTGAATAGCTGGGATTATAGGTGCGTGCCACCATGCCTGGTTAATTTTTGTATTGTTAGTAGAAATGAGGGGTTCACCGTGTTGACCAGACTGGTCTCCAACTCCCAACCTCCGGTGATCCACTCACCTCGGCCTCCCAAAGTGTTGAAATTACAGCCACTGCGCCCAGCCAAGCCAAGCTTTAAACCAGGCAATTCACAGGGCTAGAGAATGTGTTTTAGGTTGAACTATAATTCTCCCCTTTCCCCCAAAAAACTTTACTAAATGACTAATAAATCAGCAGGAAGCAAGGGCTCGCTGGGAGGAGCTGTGCGGGCCCGCTGTCCGCTGGAATTCTTCATTCAGAGAAAGGAGACCGAGAACAAGCCAGGGCACAACGCTCCTGACGCGTGAGGGCTGGTCCAACTCTGCAACATGCATTGTGCAGCCAGAGGACACTGCCCACGGGACACCGCCCCAGGACGCGGACACAGGCCAGGGCAGAGCCCCCGCATTCCAGAGCGAGGAGAAGGGGTGGCACTTTCCACAAGGCTCCTGCATCCCTGGCCTTTTATAATCGAAGCTTTGCTCAACTCACGAGGGCACGGGACAATCTGCTTTCTCAGACTCTTTATGACCAGCAGAACTGACTATGTTTCCTTCCCTGCGCTGATGCGGCCTGCTGGGGTGAACAACAGTCACTCACTCTGGTTTCAAGCCCCCAGCTTCATAGCTCCTTCAGGTACTGCGCTGTCCCTACCTCAGCCTCTGAAGTAAGAATAGGCTGGTCTGCCTCCCTTCCTGGGGGAAGCACCCACTGGGCACTCAGGGGCCTCTGACAGCGTCCCAGGCCTGTGGCCCACGCATAGTCAAGTTGTCCATGTGGTTCTCAGGGACTCTGAATGAGTATTATTTTGACAACGATGCTACCATCTAACACACACATATTAGATTAGGTTTCATCTCAGCATTTTGCCTCAACCACACTCTGTTCAGTAAACAAACAAGGCAACCACTTGTTCACACACAGAAAAGCAAAGGAGGCCAAGTTCAAAGTCACCCAGCTCCCGAGCCAGACAGAGGTAAGGGAAAGCTCGCAGTTCACAAGAGCAGCGGGCACAGCTGCTTCAGCAGGTGGAGGGGCACGACAAGGCGAAGGCCTGCCCATGCTCATCCTCCTGGGGCGGGCACCAGGACTGGCGCTGTAACCTGGAAGGCCGGCGAGGACACCTGCCAACGGGCATCTGTGCTGAGGACCCAGGCTGTGTGTCTAACGCTTCTCACAGGCACAACACTCAACACTCAATGGGGGAAGGGAAGCATGTTCATTTCCAAGCTAAAGACAACATTATAAAATAAAACCAAGGGGCAGCAGTGACCCCACGACCCTGTCGCGTCTCCTCCCGCACACCACGTCCCCTCTGCGGGATCTGCGCCCACGTTCCGCAGGCTCGCTCTCTCCAGCACAGCTCTTTCGTTAACTAGCGAGGGGAAAGCTACCGTGTCACTGCCTGCGGTTTGTACTAAACAGTTTTATTCTCTGCTCTTAGTCTGAAACCGTATACAACACTTCATCGTCACCTAACAAAACAAATCTCATGACAGTGAAAACTGTCAGAACCAAAGTATGTTTTGTGCTTGAGACCCTCAACTACTGCCCTTGGTTTCTGCTTGTTTGATTTGGGTGTCTGCCTCCTCTGCTAGCCTGGGGCTCTTAATGAAGCCCCTGTCCCAGCCAGCAGAGGGATCTCCTGCCTCTGGCCCAGGCCAGAGGAAAACGAGCCATGCAGGGCAGCACGGCTCCTTGGGCTGCCTGGACGTCCTGTGTGAGTCTTCTCTGAATTCTACCAAACGGTCAGCCCTGTAGGCCACATCATCTCCTGACGTGAGGCACCCATGTTCTGCCCTCCACATCTGTTCAGAGGCAGGGCCATGGCTGGTCCGCCCACACACCCACACTCTGCTACCATAGAGAAACCCAGAGAATGTCAAGGAAACAACTGGGCTTGACCAGACACAAGACACAAGATCAGCACGTGGGCTGTGCCAGCTTCAGAAAGCAGCAAACCAGGGCGGCCTCACCACGCTTCCTTCCTCACTTCCAACCAATCCTGCACTGCTTTACAGGTGTGAGGGCACGGAAACAAGGAGAATCCACACACAGAAAACCAACCAGGCACTGGGTGTTCTGGGTCACAGCCCCGAGGCCAGAATTCCGCTGCCGAGAGCCACAGGGAGTGTCTGGGGTGCGTGGTGCAGGGGACGGTGCTTTCTGGGGTGCCAAGGAGTGGAGCACTAGGGCGGCCGGCGATACTCACGAGTGGATATAGAAGGTGCCTGTCATTGTCTGTAGCTGTTTCTCAATATGACAGAAGCACGTGAAAGGGGGATGACAGCTTTCCTCTAACTAAAGCTGCTGCTCAGAAAAGGTTTCTGCAGACCACAAAGAACCGAGTTCCGACAAAGCGAGTTCATGCTTGTGCTGTGCACACGCTAACCACACGCTGAGCACACACAGCACACACCACCAGAGCACGCTAACCACACGCTGAGCACACACAGCACACACCACCAGAGCACGCTAACCACACGCTGGGCACACACAGCACACACCACCAGAGCACGCTAACCACACGCTGGGCACACACAGCACACACCACCAGAGCACGCTAACCACACACTGGGCACACACAGCACACACCACCAGAGCACGCTAACCACACGCTGGGCACACACAGCACACACCACCAGAGCACGCTAACCACACGCTGGGCACACACAGCACACACCACCAGAGCACGCTAACCACACGCTGGGCACACACAGCACACACCACCAGAGCACGCTAACCACATGCTGAGCACACACCACCAGAGCACAGCCCCCACTTTGGCATTTTTACAAATTCCTGGGTCACCCTGCAGCGTGAAGCCATGCAAGAGTCAGAGTGGATTCCCCACAAAACCCAGAGGTCAGCAGAGCTGGCGATGCAGATGTGCACAGCTGGGCTGGGCAAACTCAAAGTGCTGGCTGAGAAGAAACTGCTGTTCTCCTGGGCGGAATCCAGAGCCCTGCCTGTGGCTGGGCACTCCTGCCACCAACCCCTGGGAGGTGACAGACGTGACTGGCCCCATGTGAGATGGTCCCAGCTCCCACAGAGCCCATGTGCTATGAGGAGAGGCCACGGGCAGGAGGGACAGAGGAGGGCCTGGTGGGGAAGCTTCCTACGGAGGCTGAGAAGGGCCCGGCCCAGCCAGCGTCTGCCGGGGGAAGGGGAGAGTCCTGGCACCTACGGCCGCGTTCACTCGGGGTGTCTAGGGCACAGATGCCAGGAAGTGACATTGCTGGGTCATCTTTAATTTTGAGAAATACTGACAAAGTCCCCTCCAATGAGTTGCTGATTTCTTCTCCCACCAAGCATGTGGAAAACGGAACCAGCCCCATCAAACCAGCGTTTAAGTCCCTCAGGCTTGACACCAACAAGCACTCAATCATCAATTCTTTTCAGCACAGAGGTCAAATCCTCAGTCATCGGATCAGAGTCCTGCCTTGAACAAGCAGACAGAGTCTACTCAGGGCAGATGGCCATGAGCGGTGTTCCTGCACACCTCCCGGTCCAGAGGCACCGCAGCTCCCTCAGAGAGAACCCCACCTTTCAACCACCGGGACCCCTTCTACCGTGGGGCTCCCCATCACCACCAGGACCGAAGTGTTGGAGGGACACTGCCCACCAAACGAAGGGAGCTCAGCCAGGGGTCTCCACCCTCATCAGCCAGCTTCACACCCCTGCTACGTGGCACCCTGATAACCCAAGGTCAGCGGCGTCACCACGTGGCTGGGAGAGGACTCTAGTCAGAAGCTGAGAAAGGTGCATGAGCCAGGACAGCTTCCTTGGTGAAGGCGTGCTGGAACCACTGAGCCACTGAACACAGCTGCTCTCCAGCCCTCGCGGAGGGAGGCAGGCCCCCTCGGTATTCTAGCCATCAGGTTCTGAGATCAGACCACTCAGGCACTGGGGCTTTTCGGGAACACACATGCAGCGCCAGCGGGAGGCATCGTTTCCGTCTTCACCAGAGTGCTGGTTAACAGCAGAGTTTAGAGTTGCCACACGCTTCGACTTGAATGGCCGTTCTCTTTGTCCTCATTTCCTCACTGGCCTAGCCCTTCACTTCCCACCACTAAGATGGGACAGTAACAAGATCTGCCTCACAGGCTCCACGTGAGAATGTACGAATGGTCCGGCACAGGTGGCAGCGCCATGCTCAGCAGGGTGCTCCCCATGGAGCCTCACAACAAAAATTACTAGATCAGAACGACACTGGCATTCAAATGAAGGGGCTGGTTTCAACATGAATAAAGTGGCACCTGACCTGTTCACCACCACACCTGGCCCCCCACCCCAGACCTTGTGTTTGAAGTGGATGCCAGCACTTCCTCCTGTGGCTGCCCCGATGACGGTGTGGGGCAGGGGAGGGTGTGGGGCAGGGGAGGGTGTGGGGCAGGGGAGGGTGTGGGGCAGGGGAGGGTGTGGGGCAGGGGAGGGCTGTGCTTGGCCTGCAGGGCAGGATGCATTTCAGCATCATGCCTGTGGTTTGGGGGGTTGTTTTCAAAATTATATTTTTAAGTAGCAGACATTCACATTGCATTCATGAACAGGACATTCAAATCAAAAAAACCAAAAGGGAAAAATACACTTGAAACTCATATCGATTTTAGGAAGAAAAATATTATTTAAAAAATGCCATCTGGAAAGGTGACGCAACAATCCCAAGCCCACAGTTTAATCCACCATTTGTGTCTGCCTTGAGAGGACGGTTCAGAGCCAAAGGAGTGAGAGCAAGGGAAGCCTCATCTTATGTCCCCAAACACCTGCGGAAAGAACACTGGCCTGAGCCAGGCTTCACGCCACGAAGCTCCCAGGGTCCAGCGGTAGTAACACCTGAACACCTGTGCTCCTGGGCCCACCATGTGAACCCCCTCCTCAACAAGGTCTCAGCCCTGGGCCCTATCACGAATGTCTGTCCTCGCAGGCTGGGAAAGCAACAACAATTCGTGTTCCCATCTCTAAACGCGTTCCCTTTCTGGCAAATTCCTAAACATTCTTCCAAGCCCAGTTCAAATATCACCTCGTCTTTTTTAGTTTTATTATTTATTGAGACCGTGTCTTGCTCTACCACCCACGCTGGAGTGCAATGGTACTGTCGTGGGTCACTGCAGCCTCCGATTCCTGGGCTCAAGTGATCCTCCTGCCTCAGCCTCCTGAGTAGCTGGAACTGCAGGTGTACACCACCACACCCGGCTAATTTTTACATTTTTTGTAGAGACAGGGTTCTCACCATGTTGCCCAGGCTGGTCTTGAACTCCCGGCCAGAAGTGATCCTCCTGACTTTGCTGCCCAGAGGGCTGGGATTGCAGCCAGAAGCCACTGCACCTGGCCTGCCTGCTGGAATTTAGACTTAGGACGGCAACATCAACTCCTGACCGCACCGGCCTCAGCCCTGTAAACCTTCCCTCTCTCCAGGGAATGGGCTCCCCTGCAGGGCCTTCCAAATACTTCACGGCCGCACGTCGCCATCGTTTGCTCACGGATCTACCTGCCCTCAGGAGCCAGGCCGGCTATGAAGCTGTGCCCCACGCGCCCAGCAAGGTGCACGCAGCAAACAACTCAAACGGGGAGTACTTCAAGGGTGACTTCTGAGGCCCAATGAGAAATGGAAGTGAACGTATTCCAGACACAACCGAACACGGTACTCTGAGGATGCTGCACACGGACCCCGCCGGCTCGACCGTCTCACCGGGCCCGGCGTCAGCACGGCTTCTCTCCCCCGACCCCGCGCGGGGGGCCCCGCTCCCCACCGGACACTAGAGGCTCGGCGGCCCGGGAAGGCCGACGCCCGGCCCCAGGCGGCTCGCGGGGAAGCGGCCGCGCCACGGGCCACGGCTCAAGCCCAGCTGCGGCCCAGGTGCGGGCGCCGGAACCCGCGCCCCCGAGAGCTCTGCGCCCGGCCGACCCCGCCTCGGTCCCGTGGGCCCCGCCGCCCGCACCTACAAGACGGCCGCGGTCGCGGGGCAAGATCTGCCTCGCCCCAGCTCTTCCTCGTCCTCCGCCGCGCGCGCGCCGGAGTCGGGCCAGGTCCTCCCCGGTCGTGAGTCGGGCCGGAACCGCTTCCGGCGCCCAACAGCGTCCCCGGCGCGGCGCGTCCGTCGCCCAGGCGCGTCCCCCCGGCGCGTCCCCGTGGCGGCGGGTTCCGGGCGCGCGCGTTCCCCTCTCCCGCCTGTCCCGTTGTGGCCGGGTCGGGGCCGCGGGCTTTTCGTGAACCGTGGCCGAGGCAGGCGCCGTGGTCTCCGCCAGCCCCAGGCTGCCCCGATCAGAACGCCGCGCGGATTGCTGGGCCTCGCCCCGTCCTCCCAAAAGGGGGTCCCTGGGCTCTGGGGCTGGGGGTCTGCGCGCCGAGCTCCTGCCTTATTTATTATTATTATTATTATTATTATTATTATTATTATTATTATTATTATTTTGAGATGGAGTCTCGCTCTGTCACCCAAGGCTGGAGTGCAGTGGTGCGATCTCGGCTCACCGCAACCTCCGCCTCCCAGGTTCAAGTGATTCTCCTGCCTCAGCCTCCCGAGTCGCTGGGACTACAGGCGCCCGCCATCATGCCTGCCTAATTTTTGTATTTCTTGGGTGATTTTAAACGGACCGCATTTGAGAATCTCTCCTCGAAGGGACTTGGGAATCAGGACACGGATATGAAGCTAGACCGTTGGAGGGCAGTGGCGGGAAACATTTAAAGCCAGACACAAAGTCCAGTTGGCTGAAATGTGAGGGTTTTTTTTTCCCCTAAAATAAATACAAATAACACAAAGACATGTACTGGCAAACAGTAGTACAAATTATCTGCAGAACCGTCCGGGTGTGGTGGCTCACGACTGTAATCCCAGCACTTTGGGAGGCTGAGGTGGGCAGATCACGAGGTCAGGAGTTCAAGACCAGCCTGACCAACATGGTGAAACCCTGTCTCTCCTAAAACTACAGAAATTAGCTGGGCTTGGTGATGGGCGCCTGGAATCCCAGTTACTTGGAAGGCCGAGGCAGGAGAATCTCTTGAGCCTGGGAGGAGGTGGAGATTGCAGTAAGCTGAGATTACACCACTGCACTCCAGCCTGGGCAACAGAGTGAGACTGTCTCAAAAAATAAATAAAAATAAAAATAAAAAATTATCTGCAGAACCTTGCACACTGTTTTTCTGTAAGTATATTATTTTCTCTGTCCATCTTCCTCTCTGGTGATGATTGTTGGGGCAGCAGCTGTGTCCTTGGAAAGCTCAGGAAAGGGCATTTCAGAAGCCCGAGGGTGGTTTTCCTGGGAGGAAGGAGCTGGATCTGGGGGAAGTTTGTAATACAGAGTGTGGGAGAACAAACCCAAACTTCTAGTGCCTCTGGTTGCCACCCTGCTAGGTATCATACAGAAAAAGCAAGTCCAATCCTCTGCCACTGGGACGGACTTGATCTGGTGTCAGAATTCTGTCTGCTTCCAGGACTCAGCAGGCTGAATGGTGTTTCCAACGAGGGCAGTAGGAAGAGTTAGGAGGGCGTCTAACATCGGGATTCAGCCCCAGGCTGTGTGTGCGCAAATTTCTGTCCCTGGGAAGTTGCAGAGCTCAGGCCGGGTCGCCCACCTGGGGACAGGACTTGGGTCAGGGTGACACCTCCCGTGGTCCTTGGCCGTGGCTCTGTGAGGGTGGCAGTGGGGGAGGGTGCAGTCTCCGAGAAATGGCCCAGTCATCCTATGAGCGGGGTCCCAGCCGTGCCTCGGCTCTGGTCAGCATCATAGTGGCAGGTGGGAAGCAGGAGCAGTCAGGAATTAGCAGACATTGGAGGACAGCTTCTAGCCAGAGAGATGGGGCTGAAAACCCGCAGAACAACTGCAGGCAGCCAGGCTGTGCAGAGTGAAGAGATCCCCAAACCACCCCCTGTTAATACCCTCAGAGAAACAAGAGAAGCGACAGCCCCCGTGAGTCCAGAGCGAGATGCCCCAAAAAAGAGCGTTCCGGTAACATAAAGGGGGGACCGGGGGGGCAAGATGTCCCGAAAAAGAACATTCCAGTAACATAAATGGGGGCGGGGGTCAAGATACCCTGAGAAAGAACGTTCCAGTAACATAAAGGGGGGCGGGGGGCGAGATACCCTGAGAAAGAACGTTCCACCGGAGGCACGGTGGCTCAAGCCTGTAGTCCCAGCACTTTGGGAGGCCAAGACGGGCGGATCACGAGGTCAGGAGATCGAGACCATCCTGGCTAACACAGTGAAACCCCGTCTCTACTGAAAGTACCAAAAATTAGCCGGGTGAGGTGGCAGGTGCCTGTAGTCCCAGCTATATGGGAGGCTGAGCCAGGAGAATGGCATGAACCCGGGAGGCGGAGCTTGTAGTGAGCCGAGATAGCGCCACTGTACTCCAGCCTGGGCGACAGAGCAAGACTCCGTCTCAAAAAAGAAAAGAAGGGTCAGTGGCAGAGATAGCGAAGGGCCGGCAGGAGGGCAGAGGGCACCCTCTGGAGGAGACCAGGCTCTGCACATCGGGCCACTCAAAGTCATGGGTAGGGAGCACACCTTCCAGTGCCCAGGGGCTTGCTGTGAAAGTAAGTGGGGTCCAACTGAAGCCCCCTAACTCCAGGAGCTCACGCCAAGGCCCCCATCCACTGGCCATGTCCACACCTCACCATGTGGCCCCTCTGACCACATCTGTGCCTCGCCCGTGTGCTCCTGTGACCACATCTGTGCCCCATGGGGCCAGAAAACAGCTGCTGATCCCCCAAAGCCCAGAGAAGTTCCTTGTGGCTTCATTTTCCCTCGTCCCTAGGAGGCTGGATCCCAGCCAGTGCTCCATGGGCAGGAGGCTGCCCTCCCACCTGCTCCTCCACAGTCCTCATTTTGGACAATTGCATTTTTAAAACTTTAAATTATTACAAGTAATATACTCACCGTAAAGAAGACAGATGGAAAACCCCAGATAAACATAAACAGTCAAGCCCCCAAACCACCCAGAACGCTTGCCTTGCCCCAGTCATGCTCCCTGACACGTGTGTGCATGTCCGTGAGCATGGCGTGTATTTGTGCAGGTCACGATGTTCGTGTGCATCTTTGCACTCCCTTCCACCCCTGCTTCTTCCTTTACTGCCTAAGGCCCATGTCACGGGGATGGGAATTTTGGCATTTGACCTGGAAGCATTTGCCCCACCTGGGCTTGGAAAGAGTTCTGGGCAGGCCCTTAAAGTTTGCAGGAGCCTCCAGAGGACCTAAACATAGCTTAGATGCTGAGTCCATTGCACACACACCCAGAGTCATACACACAAGCCCTGGGCCATTGGCCCTGAGGCCGACCTCCCTCCCAGAAGGTGATGTCACCAAAGCTGACTGCTGGGGCCACGCGTTGGACATGGGCACGATGGGGGCAGGCCCAGGTGGAAGGAACGCCAGGCACGGGCACGTAGTGACCTCAGCCCTGGACATGACACGCTTTCCCCACAAGGAAGAGACACACAGGCCTCACCGGGCGAAGCTGTCCAAGTGCCAAACACGTGTGCCGGCAGCTGACCCTGGCTTGGCACAGGCCCGGCTCCCAGGGTCTGGCTTCTACATGTGGAGCGGTGGGCACAGCTGCCAGCTCTGCACAGCGGCTGCGAGGGGAGGCCTGGCTGCCGCCTTCTGGGACCTGTGGCGGGGACGCTTTTCCTGGAGCCTGGAAACCTTTCCAGATCCTCCCTCCTCCTGCCACACTCCTCCTCCTCAGGCCTCCCTCCTCCCTCTGCCTTCTCCAGCAGCCCTGAGCCCCGCAGGGTCCTCTCATCACTCAGGGCCAGGCCCGAGGCACCACCTGCACCATCAGAGCAGTGGCCTGTCCCCACAGTTTGTGCCAAATCAGGGCAGACCCAGCGTTGTCTGTGGGTGTGTGGGCCGAGGTCCTGTTGGCCGCATAGTTTGCGGGTCTCCAAGCCTCTGTTTTTACCCCAGAGAGTGAGCCAGCTGGTGCCACCAGCAGGAGGGACCCAGAGATTCTGAGAAACCCAGAGGCTGGACGCCCGTGTCCGAGCTGCAACAGCTCCCACGGGAGAGAACCCTGGGACATGGTGAGGCCCCACGTGAGCCAGGGAACGCCTGGCCTTGAACAGCAGAAAACACAGACGCCCCCAGCTAATGGAGTTCCTGCGAAGTCGCGCTATATTCCAGCAGACGGGCCCGCTGGCCTGAGGAAGTCACACGCACGTCCCTCTGCGCTTGGCCCTGTTGGGTTTTTGCACCACCTCCCAGACGTCCTGTAGCTGGCACAGATCTCCCGCACGGTCATTGCCTGAATCTCCCACACGGGCATTGCCGGGCTCCGTGGAAGGGTGGAGGAGGGGCGCCGGGGAGCACCTGGCCTATCTGGCTGCAGTGGTGGCATTTTAGGAGCCAGAGTCCAGGGCCCGGATGGGACAGATTTAGGGTTTTGGGGGAGCAAGGTGGTGAGGATGAAGATGAAAACAGGGTGAAAATGGGGGGTGGGGTGGGCCCACAAGCGGGCAGGCCTTGAAACCATCTCACCACAGAACATTCTCGGGGTGCCCCGGCCACAGGTCCAGGAGGAGCCACCCCCAGGGGAGGCTGGGTTTCCACAGGTCCTAGGTTCCCGGGGCTGGGAGCCCAGACGACAGGACTGAGCCACTGAGGGGGACAGAATCCATTTGGTGGAGTGACGTGAAGCCCTGGAAATAAAACCAGGTGGCTTTTAAAAATAACACAAAATAGGCCGGGCGCGGTGGCTCAAGCCTGTAATCCCAGCACTTTGGGAGGCCGAGACGGGTGAATCACGAGGTCAGGAGATCGAGACCATCCTGGCTAACACGGTGAAACCCCGTCTCTACTAAAAAATACAAAAAACTAGCCGGGCGAAGTGGCGGGCGCCTGTAGTCCCAGCTACTCGGGAGGCTGAGGCAGGAGAATGGCTAAACCCAGGAGGCGGAGCTTGCAGTGAGCTGAGATCCGGCCACTGCACTCCAGCCTGGGCGACAGAGCGAGACTCTGTCTCAAAAAAATAAATAAATAAATAAATAAATAAATAACACAAAATAACATAAAAAATAAACATAACATAAAAATAACATAAAAATGACACTAGGGAGGAGAAAAACCACACAGCCATATCTTATACAAGGG